TCTCTCTCTGTCAAATAAATAAATAAAATTAAAAAAAAAAAAGTTCTGTTGCCATTGCCATGGAGAAGGTAAAGCTGAAGTCTTGCTCAAGGTCACCCTGCTAGAGAGATGCCGGCGCCAGGATTCTATCCCTCAAATCCCTACAGTGTCTTCTGCACAGGCTAGACGCTGGGAAGGACAGAACAGAGGAGCACCCACCCACGCACACAGCACTCCTCCCCTTGTGGGGTTGCTGACAAAGACACTGTTCCCTCACCCACAAATTGGGCACCCACATAACAGCACCACGTGAAATGCAGTGATGCTCCTGTTTCTCATGTCACTTGGTACGCAACAGGGGCTCAATAGTCTGGAACTGTCTTTAATGCTTATAAGGAAGTCAGCCTTTCTCCCTAGAGCAGGTGGAAGCCACTGAAGTGTTTAGAGGGGAGGCAGGCAGGCAGGCCAGGCTGACTCGCTGCTTTTTTCCTGTCCACAGTGGCCAGGGAGGGGTCGGTGGTTCTGCAGAAGGAACTGCTCAGAATCACGCTGCCTGACTTCATTGGGGACTTCAAAATCAAGCCCTTTGGCCGAGGGCACTTTGAGTTCCACAGGTGAGGCTCCCTTCTGCTGGGGCCCTGAGGTGGCTGGGGGTAGGGGTGGGGCTCTAGAGGGCGGGGAGGGAGAACCCCAGGACTTCCTTGGGGCAGCGATGGGAGAGTTCCTCGCGGCATTCAGAGCGAAGTCCTGGGAGGAAATTAGGTTCCCCCATTTATTCATTCATCCAGCAAATATCAATGAAGACCTACTAGCTGTGTGACCTGAGCCTCGGTTTCCTTATCTGCAAAATGGGGATGACTCTGTGAAAATCCAGGCTTCGGTCTGGCCTCGGCATGTAGTCCGGGAGGGAAGATAGACCTTAAACTTTAAATATAGTAGCCCAACTGTTAGAGCTAAGGTTTGTCCACCCAGGGGAGTCAAGGAAAACTTCCCAGAGGCGGTGGCATTTGAGCTGAGTCTTCAAAGGATCATTAGACATGGACGGCTGATGCCAAAAAAAAGGCATAAAACACTTGTGGAGGAACAGGCGACGGAGGAGGGCAGTCGAGTCACAGCTCAGCACCCCCTGCCTGCCTACTACCATTGATAGCTCCACTCATTCTTTCTTTAATTCAGTCCATTAGCAAACATTTACTGAGCACTACCACGTGCCGGGCATATCAAATGGAACTTGACCACTGTTTTCCCACTGACGGCCCCACAATATGTGTCGTCTTGGTTTGCTTCTCCCAGCACTTTCTACCTTTTCTTGGGGCCAGCCTCGGCCTTCCCTGAATCCAATCCCCACCTGGATCTCTCGAGGGAGAGGATGGCTCCAAGAAGGAGCTGCAAACCCAAAGGGGTGTGCCGATGTGCCCTACTCCAGATCCCACCCAGGATCATGACGTTCATGGGCTCTGATCCCGATGGTGTGACTTTGGGCAAATGCATCTCTATTTCCCCCTCTGTAAACAGGGAACAAGAAGAGCGCTGACCCCTCTGAGAGGCGCAGGTGACATAAAGGAGGAAACGCACTTAGCATGGCCGCATGGTCAGCACAGAGCACGCCTCAGGCGCTCAGGAAGTGGGGGTGCCCACGCCTGCCTGGAGCCGGCTCTGCCAGCCAAGTCCCCACGGGGTGGGAGTGAGGCGTGGCAGGGGCGGGAGCAAGAGCCCCGCTGAGGCTGGAGCCAAGCTGGGGCTGACGCCGTGCTCCCCGTGTCTCTCTCCTCAGCCTGAGCATCCACAGCTGTGAGCTGCGTGGTTCTGCTCTGATGCCCCTGCCCGGCCAGGGTCTGAGTCTCACCATCTCTGACTCCTTCATCAGAGTCCAGGGCGAGTGGAAGGTGCGCAAAGCATTCGTGTAAGTGGACTCTGCTCCCAGGCTCTTGGGCCCTTGGCCTTGGCCTTTGTCCCATCCTTCTTGGGTCCAAGGTGTTCTAGCTCATCAGAAAGGCCCCATGGTGGATGGAAAGAGCCCACAGGGGTTGGAGGCCTGGCTCTTAGTTGAGTCTCTTCCCTTCTCATGCTTCCCTGATAGGGTTGTGGGTGACCTAAATGAGAGAATTCTGGGTCTTTTTAGTTTGCTTTCCCCAGCAGCAGACCCTAAGACAAGAATTCAAGTGTAAGTACTTTATCTGGGAAATGACCTAAGGAAACATCCACGGGGGTGGAAAAGGGAGGCAGGGAGGGAAGGAAGTCAGCTGAGCAGCTGACTGGAGCTCAGCCTTCCTGGGGACCTCTGGAGACCATACAGGCAGAGCACACCTCTGAGCTACCCCAACTCAGCCATTATGACCCCTTCTTCCTGTTTGCCGTTGGTCAAGGGGGGCTCCCAGGGGCACGAACTCCCTAGCACTTTGAACTGTTCTTGACCTCCAGGGTCCTTGGATGGAAGGTAGGTCGTCTGCTTGAGCTGCCATACTAAAATATCACGGACTAGGTGGTTTCAACAACACTTCTGGAGATCCAAGGTCCAAGATCAAGGTGTCAGCAGGCCTAGTTTCTTCTTAGGTCTCTCTCCTTGACTTGTAAATGATGGCCGTCTCGCTGTGACCTTGCATTGTCGTCCCTCTGTGTGCATGCACCCCAGTGTCTCTCCGTGTCCTCTTCTTATAAGGGCACCAGTCAGATTGGATTCTGGCCCACCCTGATGGCCTCATTTTTTTTTAAGTTTATGTATTTAAGTAATCTGTACACCCAACGTGGGGCTCATACTACAACCCCGAGATCAAGAGCAGTATGCTCCACTGACTGAGCCAGTGAGGTGTCCCCCCAGTTGTCTCATTGTAATGGCATCAATTCTTTAAAGGCTCTGCCTCAAATGTAGTCACATTCAGAGATCCTAGGGTTAAGGACTTCAACAGATGAATCTGGGTGGGGGCACAAAATTCAGCCCATAACAGGAGGGTTGACCAGTCTTTTCTGGGTGACCTGACCATATTTATACTTTTTTTTTTTTATTTTATTATGTTATGTTAGTCACCTTACAATACATCATTAATTTTTGATGTGGTGATCCATGATCCATTGTTTTCGTGTAACACCCAGTGCTCCATGCAGTACGTACCCTCCTTAATACCCATCACCGGGCTAACCAATCCCCCCTTTCTCCTCCCCTCTAAAACCCTGTTTGTTTCTCAGAGTCCATAGTCTCTCATGGTTCATCTCTCCCTCTGATTCTGCCCCCCGCCTTCATTTTTCCCTTCCTTCTCCTAATGTCCTCCATACTATTCCTGATGTTCCACAAATAAGTGAAACCATATGATAATTGACTTTCTCTGTTTGACTTATTTCACTTAGCATAATCTCCTCCGGTCCCTTCCATGTTGATGTAAAAGTTGGGTATTCATCCTTTCTGATGGTTGAGTAATATTCCATTGTATATATGGACCACATCTTCTTTATCCATTCATCTGTTGAAGGGCATCTTCGCTCTTTCCACAGTTTGGCTATTGCGGACATTGCTGCTATGAACATTGGGGTGCATATGGCCCTTCTTTTCCTAGACCTGCATTGTCCAATACAGTAACTTCTAGCCACGTGTCTTCACTGAGTACTCGAAAAATAGCTGGTACAAATTGACATCTGCTATAAGCGTGAAACACCATATTTGAAGATTCAATACAAAAAAGAACAGAAGAAACCTCATTAGTGACATTTGGTGTCTGGCTTCTTACATTTATCCTAAGATTTTTGAGGCTCATCCACATGGTAGCATGCATTAGTCCTTTATTCCTTTTTATGGATGAGTAATACTTCATTGTGTAGATAGACCACATTCACCCTTATTCTTTTTTTTTTTTTTGGAAGGGGCAGGGTGGGGGAGAGGGAGAGGGAGAGAATCCCAAGCAGACTCCACACCCAGCACAGAGCCCAATGCAGAGCTCGACCTCACGACCCTGAGATCATGACTGAAGCCGAAACCAAGAGTCAGACGCTTAACTGCCTGAGCCACCCAGGCGCCCCTACCCTCATTTGTTTTAAAGCCTGCGTGGCATAGATGCCTATGACTTACTGAACCTGTCCCTACTAGCTGACATTTAGGTGGTTCATCACTTTTTGCTATGACCCATGCTGCTTCCATGAGCTGCCCCACTCATATATCTGGGCGGGAAGAGCTGCAGAGTAAAGCTTTAGAAGTAAAATTCCAAGATCGAAGACATGTGCGTGAGGATGGATCCCAGCAGTCTATATTCCAGAGGTGCTCTTTCCACTACAGCCCCTGGGACCTCTGTTTACCCATACCTGCTCAAACTTCAGAACTTCCATCCGACAGGTGAAAACTGGCATCATTGTTATTTTCATTTTTAATAATGTTTCATATGCTTATTTGCAATTGAACTTCCTGTTTGATATCTTTGATCCCTCTTTTTAATTTTTTTCTTTTGGGTTGTTTTGTCCTTTTCTTATTAATTTGTATGAGCTTGTTCTTTGTGTATTAAGGAAATTAGCTCTTTGGCTGGCTCACCATGCAGGGTCTTTCTTTCTTTCTTTTTTTTTTTTAACTTTGAATATGGCATTTTTTTGTTCACTGAAGTTTTAATTTTCTATGCTGTCAAGTTTATCAACCATTTCCTTTAAGCCTCCTGAGACTTGGATCCTACATAGAAAGGCTTTTGCTCACCCGTTCCCAGAAATAACTAGACCCAGGCTTTCTTCCTGATCTTTTATGGTCTTATTTGTAATAAATCTTTACTTTGTAATAATTTTCCCAATTAAATTTTTATTCCAGCTCCACTTATTTTGGGGTAAGAATCGAGCTTCATATTTTACCCACAAATGGTGGCTGATCTTAGTCTAGGAATGGATGAATTCTTCTCTTATCTCCTCCAGGAAACTACATGGCTCCTTTGATGTGCAGGTCAAGGGCATTACCATTTCGGTCAACCTTGTCTTGGGCAGGGAGCCCTCTGGGAGGCCCACCGTCACTGCCCCCGGCTGCAGCAGCCACATTCGAGATGTGGAGGTGGACATATCGGGAGATTTGGGGTAAGTCACCACTGAGACACTGGCCCGCTTGACCCCTGGGTGCAGCCTGAGGCCCATCCAGCCCAAGGCCTGGCCTCTGATAAATATATATGTCCAGGTGTAATGCAGGGGCACATCACAGGCACTTGGAGGTCATTCTTTGGGGGACCCTGCTGAGATTAACAGATGCAGCTTCGAGCCAGGAATACTGGTGGGGACCACCATCAGATGAATGAAATCTGTTAGAGGAACACAAGGGCTTTTGGCCTCCGGACAGTGTGTGGACAATCTACAAGTCTTTGGGGACATATTTTTGAGCCTCAGTTTCCTTGATTAGAAATATATGGATTCTCAAGCCTCTCCCCTAAATCTACTGAATCTGATTAGGGGCAGCAGGTGGCTGGGATGCCAGACACGCTGAATCAACGAGTGTGCTGGGATCTGGGACTCTGCATTTTCATCCTTTCCAGGATTCTGAGACACAGCAGGGTCCCAGGATGGGGTGAGGAGGGCTCCCTTGGGGACCAGCCTGGTCAGAGGCCAGGGCCAGGCTTTCTCTCCTGCCTCACTGTCCCTGCATTCAGTGGTACACAGCTGACCGTCCACTGTTCTCTCCCTAGGTGGCTGTTGAATCTCTTCCACAACCAGGTTGAGTCCCGGTTCCGCAGAGTATTGGAGAGCAAGGTAGGAATGTCCAAGCTTCTGGCATCTGCTGTGTCACTCAAGGGCTAGGTGGACACCTTCACTGGCCTCTGGCCCTGGATGGCCAGGTTGACTGGCCCAGACATATTTAGGCCCAAGGCCCAGAGAGGACAAATCATTTGCCCAAGGTCATGGAGCGTGGCCAAACTGGGGCAAAATGTAGGTCCCTGGACTCCAAGCGTGTTTAGTGAGGCAGAGAATGGTTCGATGTTCAGCCAATGGTAAAACAGCGGGAGCGAACAGAGACTCCTGCCCCTCCCTCTCCTTGACCTTGCTCACTGGCCCCCGCCCCCTAATGCCCTGCACTCCATAAGGCCAAAAAGAGAATCAGCACTTAGGTGCCTGCAGACACCAAACAGGACAGTTGGGAAATGTGAGAACCAGATTGGAGCCCTGGTTCCTACCTGGCTGTGCTCATAAGCACATGCCCTGGAGGGGAAGGCAGCACAGAGTGTCATTTTTTCCCATTAAAAAAATGTGAAATCTCCCAAATTTTGAAATCTCTGACAAAACAAAGAGGTTTCATGTTAACAAATACTTCACCCCAAAAATCCCATTTCTGAGGTATCATGGACCGGGAGCTGTGTCTGTAGCAAAGACTGTGCTTCGGAAGGGAGAAGGTCATTCAGGAGGAAAGAGGAACACACAACATATGCACACACACACACACACACACCACACACACGCACACACACACACACACTCTCCACTGAGGCCCACGGCTGGTCTTGTGCCCCTGGTGGTTGAGGTGGGAATAGCAGACAGACCCTGGAGATGGGGAGTGGCAGACTGCATTCTGTTCCTTTTTCTTGTTCTGGGGTCCTGGGGTCTAGGTGAGCCTGGGAAATATGCCAGCCTCCTTCTTGAGCACCTCATTTCCATGTTGCCATGCTTTTCTCAGTAGGACATAGTATTCTTCAGCGGTGTGCATTACCTTGCTGGTGAGGAGCTGAGTCAGCTTTCGAACTTCCTAGAATATGGAGCAGCTTATACCAAAGGCCTTCTAGGGGCTGGGTGTCTTGGGAAAGATGGAGATCTCACTTGATCCCTGACCCTTATGGGTCTTCAGAAATTTCCTTCTTCTAGGAAAACGAAGAGCCTGGTACAGGATCTTTCAAATTCCCCACTGATGGTATCTGACCAGCAGGGCTAAGAATAACCACTTCCTGCATGTTTGCTCTCTGGGCCATATAGACCCACTGTCTCAGCCCCCTCACCCCCCAAAACTCCCTGGGAAGCACTTGGCCTTGTCACTGTATCCTGTGGGTGAGGACTCAAAAGCAGGGAGAGATTCTGCAAAGGTCACACAGCCAGTGGGGAACTGGACAGGATTTGAACCCAGGTTTGTTTAACTCACCTACAACACCCTTAACCTGCCTCTCTAGGAGGTCCTGTGATGAGTCTGGGACTGAGGGCCGAAGGCCTTCCCTCCCCCATCAGGCAAGTCCCCTCAGGGGTGGGGCATCCAGGGGGGCCTTTAGGAAGATCTGATGGGCCCTTGTCTGAAGGAAAATCAATAAGAGAACAGTCTCTAGTTGAGGCCAGCAGTTTCCTGGTTCCCGTGAAATCAACTGTGACTGTCCCTCACCACTCCATTCTTTGCTTTTTGGCAACAACCTGAGACCAAACTCCTTTCCCAAAACTAAGCTGTCTGCAAAGGGAGGTTAAGATTTCACCTCTTGCCTGCCCAACCCCCAGCATAGAGCTTCCCCACATCCCCATGCCTGATTCATGTCTGCTCACCCTTTTACCTGCCCTTAAAATGCCACCTCCCATGCTCATGGAGCCCCCAGCCCCCATATACCTCTCCTTCCTTATATACGTGGATCCGTCTGAGCAGAAGGTGGTGGCCGCTTAATCAAAACAACTTGTACCGTGGGGACACACACACACATGCACGAACAAAGAAAATATTTACATGTAACTGCAAATGTTTTAAGATAAAGTAAATATAAATCCATTTGTCATATTGTGACACAGGGCCCAGAACTGTTCTTTCAAAATAGTCTCCTGATTGACATTGGACTTTGTCTTTCGTGCATGAAACATTGATTTGCTACAAATTCCAGCTCAGATTTCTTTAACCACAATGAGAATTCGAAGTCATTTGCAAAGCAATCCCAGTGCCGAATCCTTCTAGATTTTTATGATTTTTTTCCTCCTAAGCCTTTTCTTGTGCACACCAAGAAATTTCTCTAAGCAGCTCACCTTTCCCAAGTACTTAGGTTTTCTCAGTCATATTTCATTGGTTTACACAATAAATATTCCAAGCGATTACGAGAGCAAATATAGCCACCAGGTTTGGGAACACGCATTCCCTCATCTTGAGAAGCATGCCACTCAAGTGGCCACCACGAAGTGTGTGGAGAAACGTGGAATACAGATCCGTCCAGCCAACCTGTGAAGTGATGATATTTGAGAAGTATCTACTAAGTACACACTTATGTATTTCTACTGACCGTCTAGTTCTGCTATTCAATTCTAAATTCTGAGGGGGCCAGCACCTCCCAAAGGAAAGTATCTTTCAGGCTGGAATTTCAGGCAGTGCTCCAGCCAAGGTACCCTACCCAGCTGGGTAGCTGACTACCTAGCTCAGATGTCCAGCCCCAGGAAAAACTTGGAAAGGTCCGCCGGATGGGCCCCATTGAGGTCCACATGGGGACCTGCATGTTTTTGATCATTTCTGTTTCCTGGCACATGGCACGTGATGAGCACTGATACATTTTTGTGGAATCGATCAATGGGCTAATATATGAACGACGATGACTACAGCAATTAGCACAGTGGCAGACCAAAGCTGGGGGGACCTGCTCAGGCTTTCTCCTCCTGTGTTTTTCAGATTTGCAAAATGCTCCAGAATTCAGTGACCTCAGACCTACAGCCTTATCTCCAAACTCTGCCAGGTAAGCTACTCCACCCATCCCCGGGATACTCTATTAATTTATATAAGCACATAAGCATGCCTTATAAAACATTAAATGGGACAGAAGTATAGAAAATAATAATTTTTTTAATTTTTTGTATTTTTTATTTTTAAAGATTTTATTTATTTGAGAGAGAGAGAGCACAGAGAGAGAGGCAGAGGGAGAAACAGACTCCCCACTGAGCAGGGAGCCTGATGTGGGGCTCGATCCCAGGACCCTGGGATCATGACCTGAGCTGAAGGCAGATGCTTAACCGACTAAGCCACCCAGGTGCCCCGAAGGTAATAATTTTTAAGTATCCCTTCCTCCCCAAATTTTCTTCCAAGAGGTAACCCCTGTTTGGGGTGTCACCCCTCAGATATTTTCTTTTGTATATAAAAATATAAATATACATGATCATTCAAACATGCATTCATTATATATTCCTTTCATTCATGAATACATGTGTATGTGCCAAGTTATGAACATATATCAGTCTACACATAGTAGACATTGTTTCTTTTGTAACTTACATACCTTGGATATCTTTCTATATTAGCGCACATAAATTTATCTCATTTTTAAAAAACTTTTTGGGGCACCTGGGTGACCCAGTCGGTTAAGCGTCTGCCTTCGGCTCAGGTCACGATCCCAGGGTCGTGGGATCAAGCCCCATATCAGACTCCCTGCTCAGCGAGGGGTCTGCTTCTCCCTCTCCCTCTGCCATTCTCCCTGCTCATTCTCTTTCTCAATAAATAAATCTTTAAAAAAAAAAAAACTTTTTGTGGAGGTTTATAGAGAGAGAAAAGTGTTCAAGTCATAAGTGAACAGCTTAAAGAATTTTGCCAAACTGAGCACAGGCACGTCCCCGCTCCCAGCGCAGGAAACAGAACATGATGGGGTTTTCAGAACCCTTCCCAGCTCCTGCCCCTGCCCCCCACTGAAGGAAAACCACCATCCCAACTTCTCCCAGCAAAGATTAGTTTTGCACTTTGTACGCGAATGGCACCACGTAGTATTTTGAGTCCTCTATCAAGAGCAGAAGGTTTTCTTTGCTCAACTTTAAAAGATGAAGTTGATCCATACTGCTGCGCAGAGAGAGTTCATTCATTCTCCTTGCTGGGTGCCGCTCCTCGGTGTGGGTGTCCCTCCCTTTGTTTATCCATTCTGCTGTTGAAGCCCATTTGGGGAGTTTCACTTTGGGGCCATTATGGGTGGTGCTGCTATGAATATTCTAGTACATATGGACACATGTCTTTGCATATATACCTAGGAGAGCGACTGCAGGCTGATGTAGCAGACGTAGGTTCTGCATTATCGGATCCTTCCAGTGTTCCAAAATGATTGCCACAGACTTGGTTTTAGTAGCTGTGTAGTGTTCCATCCTATGGATGTGTCTAAAGTATTCTGTGAGGCCCTGGCCCCCGGGTCTTACCCTCACTTGTTGGCAGCTGTCTTTCAGGGGAGGCCCAGGCAGCCACAGACAACCTAGTGCATGGGACACAGGACTTCCATTCCCCTAGGGCTTTGGAGGGCAGTTTCTGGGCCCTCTGGACATGGCCTGACCTTCCTGGTTATTTGGTCCTGTGTGTTGATAGGAGGCCAGTTTCCCTGAAGATCAAGGCCTCAGTTGGAAACTGGGGAACAATTCGCTTGATTGGAGAATCCTCCCCATTCTGTGGCTTCTTTGGCATGAAGCTCCAGGTGTGGAGGGGCTGCGAGAACTGGGCTCCTCCTGCCCTCAGATGTGTGTGTGTGTGTGTGTGAGAGAGAGAGGGAGAGAGAGAGAGAGAGAGAGAGAGAGAGACCCTGGAACCCACTCAGGCTCCAGGTGGAGCATACCACCCCCTTCATGGCTAACCCACCAGTGGGACAATAGAACCATGTCCTCTCTTTCTTGGAGGAGCAGCTCTTTGCTCTGGGGCTGGGCTGGGTAGAAGGTCTTGAGGCAGAGGGGCAGGGGGCCTTGAAGAACATGACAAGCGTGTGGATCAGTCAGAGCGCCCATCACCTGGCTCCTAATCCTGCCCCTCTCCTGGTTCACAGTCAAAACAGAGATCGACAGTTTCGCTGGTATTGATTACAGTTTAATGGAAGCCCCTCGGGCAACAGCCCAAATGCTGGATGTGATGTTTAAGGTGAGAGTCCTAGAGCAGGGGTGTGGGTAGGCTCGGCCCCAGCATAGCATACCCTCATGGCAAGTCCTTACTTGGGGCCTCCCATCTTTCTGGCTTCAGGTCTGTCCTCATCTCCCCAGGGGTTCCAGCTGTGTTGAGGGCAGGACAATATGGAGTGGTGGGGATCAGGGCTCCAACAGTTGTCTTACAAGCCTTCAGCCTTGAAACCCACCCTCTTCCCCTCCTTCCTCTTGACCACCATGCAAGTGAGGTCAATCAGAACTGGGCTAGGCGGTGCAGAGGGTACTATGGGTTAAAATGCCAAAGTTGGGGAGCTTTTCATTTACAGATTCTGGACACACAACACTTTGACCCAAAGGAAAATACCTTTAATGGTAGTTTCAGACAGTGACTTGCCAGTGCCCCCACCTCGTATATAAACAACTGCCTAGCTCAGATGTCCAGTGCTGGGGTAGACTTTGAAAAGTTCAAATGCATCCTATTTCTCTCTCCAGGGTGAAATTTTTAACCGTGATCACTATTCCCCAGTCAGCTTCCTTGCTCCTGTCATGAGCCTTCCTGAGCAATACAACCGAATGGTCTACTTTGCCATCTCTGAGTATGTCTTCAACACAGCCAGCGTGGTTTATCATGAGGCAGGATTCCTGAATTTCTCCATCACAGATGACATGGTGAGGATGGTGGCAGAATAGCACTCACAAATGACAGGGTAACCTGTCCTTCTTCCTTTTTTCCTTCCCACCTCGTTTACGTCAATGAAATAGGAAGTTACTGAGAAGAAAGATTCAGACAAGGAAATACATAAATTAGCACAATTTCCCTTTTCACTTTGGCTGCCAGGAAGCTCGAGTCAAAATCCTTTCTCCCTTAGAACTGTGAAAGATTATGACTTCCCTGTCTGGATTTTACTTTTGCCCCCATCTAGACCTGTTGTTCTAATTCATATTTTCTCTCCTGCTTGGTTTGTAGAGGTTTAAAAAAAAAAAAACTTTAAAAAATTTAGTAAATGAGGCAGGATAATAGATACACTAATAAATGCATAAAGTTATATTGAATAGGAAATTAAGACCAAGTTAAAAGTAAAGCACAGTTACAACACCATGCCCATAAGTTGATTTTTTTTTTAAATAAAAAATTCTACTTGAGAGCTTCCTTGTAGCCAAAGTAGAAAATGTCCATGATTTAGTGATTCGTGGTGAAAGGAGAGACAAGGTCTTCCTAGGACTTACCTCTGAGACAAGTGTTTCAAGTGGGGCTTTGTATAAGGAATATTAAATTTTATAGTGGATTGCATCTTTAGTAATTCTCAAGTTTCTTTAAAATTTCTGGGTTTCAGAAGATTATTTCTTGTAGCTTTTTGTAAAGCTGAGGCCTCGTGAACAATGTCAGGATGATGAGGGAAACACAGCGCAGCCCCACTTGGATGGTCCAGCTGGCTCTGATAATAGATGGGGGCCCGTCTAGTGGGTGGGTGGGGTGGCTTGTGGTCTTTTGGGTGATTTCTCACCCTTGCACAGGCCTTTTGCTTCTATTATCATGTTTGAGTAAGGCACCCCACCTGTGGTGCTGTCCTTTCTTTTAGTGGATTGGTCAGAATAGCTGTGTTTTATAACAGCTATGCGCTGGGCCCTGTGTAGGCGCTGTGTTTACCCCACCCCATTTAGCCCTCACAATGACCTGATAGGCTCAGAGAGGTGAAGGGACTGGCCTGTGACCACAGGGGAACAAAGCCAGGAACCATACCTAGGTCCTTATGTCTACAAATCTCACCCTCACGGACCCTCTGAGTGTGTCACACATGTCACCCATGTGCCAAGGAGAGCAGCCGGGACCCTGGCAACTGGTGCTTGTGGTGAGTGCTGGGCAGGCATCTCACTATTGCTATGGCAACCCAGGTAGTCAAAGAAGCTGCAGTCTTGAGCATCCCCCCCCTCCACCTCCCCATCTTTCTCAGACCTTCAGTTCCTGCGGGAGCACCCTAAAACTTTGTGTCTCTTTGCTGCAGGTTCCCCCTGGCTCTAACATCCGGCTGACCACCAAGTCCTTCCGCCCCTTCGTCCCCAGGGTAAGCCTTCTCTCAGACCTTGGCAGGAGCAGGCCAAGCCCACTAGCCTCCAGGAGTTTCCCTTTAAAACCACAGAGCTACTCTTGGCTTAACTAAGAGTCAGAAGGCCGGCAGTGAGACCCCCAGGGAGGGCAGGGCCTTCATTCTGCTGGCTTCGGGGCCCCTTCTCTCCAAAGCCCAACAACAGAGGGCTGAGCCCTGTGTCTCTGGGACCCGGGGTTGCCCAGTCTTTTGCCGACGATATCTGAAAATCCCAAGGAGTGCCAACATGTCCCCTCAAATACACCTTAGTTAATAACATCAGACAATTACAGAGGGCATACTAGGGACCAGGCACTGTTCTTGGTGCTTTAAAAATTATGTTTTGACCAGATAATAAATTCTCATGGTTCAACATCCAAAAGACATAAAAGGTTCTAGAGTGGAAAATTTCTCATCCACTCCTGGCCCCTAAGCACCCAGTTCCCATCCAGAGCCTACCTCCTTCTGGGGATATTCTATGTATATGCCAACAAATGCTGTGAATCTTTTCCATTTTTGTACACAAATGGGGATATATCATACACACCATTTTGTACCTTACTTTTTTTGCCTCACTGTTCCGGGAGATCATTCTGCAGAGGTAGAAAAGGAGCTTCCTCCCTCATGTTCTCATGGGCATCCAGCCTGCCATCATATGGACTCACCGTAGCTGGTTTAACCAGTCTCCCAGGAAGGACCTGGGGTTGTTTCCAGCAGTTGCTACAGCAACTCTGTCATCACAGGGCTAAGCTCCTCATTCAATCCCACAGAAATCCACTGTCCTCTCCTCCACCTCCCCAGTCCCCTCCAAGGCGCAGCTCAGACAGGCGGTCATGTCGAACATCCAAGGCTTGACAATACTCATCCTGCCCTTTGACTCAGCAATTCCACTTCTAGGAACGTACCCCTCCCCCCAACAGCCAAGGGTATTCACAGGGATGATCATTATAAGGGCAAAACCTTGGAGACCACCTGATGCTCACTGTGGCTAGATCAGTTACAGTACCCGTGCCCGATGGAACCCAATGCAGCCGTGAAGTACATATACAGACTCCAGATGTCTGACAGGGCAAGATAAGATCTCCAGGTGCACCATTAAGAGGAAAAGGAACAGAGCATTTTGTGAAAATAACATCAATCAAAAAGCATTCTCGGCTTTCTCTGACTCCCTCGGGATCCCCCTGGCAAACCTGCATATTTCCTTCTCTTGACATAATATCCTCATTCTGCCCCCAGTTAGCCAGACTGTACCCCAACATGAACTTGGAGCTCCAGGGAGCAATGGCCTCTGCCCCATTCCTGAACTTCAGCCCTGGGAATCTGTCCTTGACTCCCCTGATGGAGATTGAAGCCTTTGTGCTCCTGCCCAGCTCTGCCAAGGAGCCTGTCTTCCAGCTTGGTGTGGTAAGGCTCAAAGCCTTTGCAAATGCTGTTCCGTTTTTCTGCATGCTCTCCCCCTTTCCTTCAGATCTCAACTTCAATATCACTTCCTCAAGGAGGACTTTTTTGATTGCCTCTTACCACCTTAGGCCCCCTGTCATTTTTTTTTTCTTAAAGCACCCTATTGTTTTTCGGCATAGCATTTATCATAAAGATACCTATGTAGCTGTTTGCAGGTTTATTTGCTTAATGTATGTATCTCCCACTAAGCGAGACGGGGCTATTGTTGGGAGGAAGGCATCAGGGTCTTTGACTTGTTTGCTCTGCATCTGTATCTGACCCATGAAGACTACACTTCCCAGGCTCCCCTGGACTTTGACTTCTAACCAAGTCAGCCAATGGAAAACACTGTCAAGAGACTAGAGGGCGGGAGGAAGAAAGAAGCCGAATATTTCTTCCTCTGTCTTTGTCCTGGACAGAGGCTCAGGCAGTGAGTGTGTCTCTTCCATGGTGGTTCCCATAACCCTAGTCCCTACTTCTGTTCTTCCAGTCCTGGGGTGGAAGCAGCGTCCTACCTCTGCTAGTCTCTAAGTTGCCCCTCTAGCTCTCTTTGGCTTCTTGGCAATTCCATCACTTGTGTAACCAGTTCCCTATATTAAAGTCCCTCTGAGTTAAATATTGAGAGGGGTCTCTCTCAATAAACCCTAAGAGCAAAGGGATTCTGAGTCCTTTGGGGTTCCTGCTCACTGGATGTTTCAGGGTTGCAACTCAACAAGACAAATTTCTGGAAGGGTAATTGCTCCTAGATGCTATATCTGCAATTTGATTTTGTTGTTATTGTTGTCGAATTTGTTGTTATTAATATATTGTAAATTAAAACAAAATATTATTAATATTATTTTTATTATTATCACCCCTAGGACTGACTCTTAGCCCTGAGATAGCTAGAAATGATGCCTTTAGAGATCTCCAGAGATAGGCACTCTACACCTCTTGGTAGTCTGTCTATTCAAAGTTCAATCACTATCATAGTCAGAAACTTAAGGTAAAAAGTGTTCAAGTCCAAGTTCAAACATGTATTGAGTACCTATGATGAGCCTTCTGGGAGTCCACAGTCTAGTGAACAAGTTCCTGCTTTAACTAACTGAGTTGTTTGTTTAAAGGAAACAGCTAGTCCTAATAGTTATCATTCCTGTACATGACAGCCTTTCTCATCTAAACCAGTTTTCTTCTACTGGAATTTCCAGGCTACTAATATGTCCGCCATGTTGACCTTCAACACCAGCAAGATCACTGGGTTCCTGAAACCAGGAAAGTAAGTCAGCCTCCTGCCCACATGGAGGCATTAAACTGGGTTCCTTCCATCTGGACACTGTAGCTGATTTTCTGTAGCTGGGGGTAGGGATGTGAGTAGATCTTCTTCTCGATGTTAGGGGCTGCCATTGGGGAAGGAAACTTAAATTTTACCTCAGTTGGCCCAATTCTTTTCCCCCACTAGTCCTGCCTCCACAAACTTCCTTTCCACCTAATCCCCATAACTTCCACATTTCTAAAGAATTTATTAATACTGATTTTTCTTAATCTGTAAATTTTCGACATCAGCTATATTGACTTTCTGACATACACTACCCACCTCCCCTCTGTGAGTCTTCCCAATGAGGTTGTATCACTGGTTTTGGGTCTTAAACATCTTTTCCAGTCCCATCCCTACGTTGGCTCTGTGTCTTCTCAAGCCAGTACCTCCTTTCTGGGGACCCCTACATTGCTTAGGTTTGCCATGGGCATTATGCCCCCATCTCTGAATCTTCTCTGATTCATTATAGGATACAAGTGGAGCTGAAAGAGTCTAAAGTTGGAGTGTTCAATGTAAGTTATCATTGTTTTTATTTATGAAGTGATTAAGGTATTAACTAATTTAGTATATTTACTAAGCAATGCTATAGCACCTATAGGAGAAAATAGAAAAATGAAAAGAGCTACTCTCTGCTGTAGAAAAGTATAGAAGTTCTCGAGGACATGATACACAGGGCCAAGGAACAGTTACATCCCAATAGAAGATAAGATATAATTAAATTGTCTGTTGGACAGAATTCTTTTAACTACAAGAATAGAAAACCAATTAAAAGTGTCTTAAGCCAACACGAGGAATTCATAGGGTCATAAAACTAAAAAACAAATTAAAAAAGAGGTTTCAGGCATAACTGGATCTAGGTGCTCAAATTAGTGCATCAAGAATCTCTCCCCCTCTCTCCCTTCTGCTTTCATCTGTGTTGGCTTCATCCTCAGACAGGTTTTTCCCACTGATGGAAAACCTCAAAATTTTGTAGTTTAATTTTTTTAAAAAATCCAGATGCTAGCTCTCTTTAGGTGAATCTGAGTCATGTGTCCATTCTTTAGCCAATCACTGTGGTTAGAAATTGGACAAGGCCAATTGACCAAACATGGGTTTCATCTACACTTCTGGAGCCAGGACATCTAGTCTGAAACCATATGGACTGAGATTGGAAAGGAGGGTTCTCCAGGGGAAAATAGGGACTCTGTTATTAAAACAAGAGGAATTAATTGCTGGGCAGGCTGAACCAAGAGGTGATTTCCACAAGGAGGAACAACTGGCAAAATGGATGGCCCCATATTGAAGTAAGAAAGACAGTGGGAAAATCAATGTGGGCTGATGTGATCAGGGAGAGATTTCTTTTTTTTTTTTTTTTACATTTTTAAAATTTTATTATGTTATGTTAATCACCATACATTACATCATTAGTTTTTGATGTAGTGTTCCATGATTCATTATTTGCATATAACACCCAGTGCTCCATGCAGAACGTGCCCTCTTTAAT